TCGAAAATAAAATTTTGTCGAAACTAGTTTCGAGACAGTTTCGATATCGATGCTCTCGAAAGTTTCGAGTTTCGAGAAGCATCATTAGGATCGGCTAAAGCGGAGTTAATTTAATATATGATCTACATATTGCATAAATCGTATTCTTGATAACTATATATAAATAATAACTAAATATATCAAAAAAGTAACTCTAACCCTAACTCCGCTTTAGCCATCCCAATAAAGTAAAAATACATAATAACAAAAATTCGTAGAATGATTATTATTCAAAAAATAATAATAAAAGTATATAGTAAATAAATAGGACTAATAGTAACATTAGTAAAGATTATTATTATGTATATTATTAAATAATGTAGTAGCGAAAAGTATATATAGAACGAATATCTGCCCTCAATAAAAAAACAACTCTTGGAGTTCGAAAAAGTAAAACCTTCTGAGCCTTGAAAAAGTCTTGTATAGAAGTGTTTGTCTTTAACTAAATTACCCTTTAAAAATTGTTATAATTGCTACCCTAAATCTTTAAATCGTTGAATTCTTCCCCCGTGATATCTTTCTTAATTAATACCGGTTTGTTAGTAAAGTAAAAGAGCCCAAATTGTCATATCGCATTGTTTTATATAGTGTCTTTAAATTGATTAAATAATTGATCAATTTCGTAATTGTTAAATCGACCTACCAATAAATTCATATCCCGTGACCCAAATTGTCGTAACCAAATCGAAACCCGATTTGTACCAAAATCGAAACCCAATCGTAACCAAACTGTGACTTCCGATAAACGTGACCCAGACAATCCATAGACCCAACCCCTATAACCAAAATACTTACCCAAGTAACCCTAAACTCGGACCAAGTTATACCCGCCTCTTTCAAGCCTTATCCAAGCAAGGGTTACATCTTAGCTGGATTTGTGGATTATCCCGGTTCATTTATATAGATTAGTAGAACCCGAACCTCTGTGTAACCAAACCTCCGGACGAGTTCTAGCCTAGAACCAATCCTCACTTTTTCATGGGACAAAGTCGCATATGTCGTATGCGACGCAGGAGACACATATAACGAATGCGACATATGCGAAATATATGGGATGTAGGGTATATTAAATAAATGTAATATGTATCGTTAAAAAAATATTATTATAAATAAAGGCTGAAATGGCCCTTGAGAGAATCAAGTCTCGTTTGCTTCACTAATACATAAAGTCCCAATTTTATTAAATAAATCGCTCATAATATTACATTAACACCGCTTCGCTAATATACTCCCTAAATTCTAAGTTATAATTCGTTGTTCGCTTAACCTCTTGCTCACGTGACCGAACCTTCTTGACCTAGGTAACCCGAGCCTTACTAGTCCCTCAGCCTAATCTAACACACCTCTTTCGTAAGGTTACTTACCCTTGGTTATGCAAGTTTTTGTATTGTTGAGCGACCGAGTCGCAGCGGTTTTCCAGCCTCACAATATGCAGAATTATACGTCAATATATTGATAATCCTAAAAGAGCATCCAAGATTATTTGCGGGATCGAGATTTTGTGGTCTTCGATTTTACTAAGGCCGTTGATGATTCTCTCGCAATTAGATTGGGATGGTACACACCATTAAAAATAGATGAATAGGAACAACCAGCAAGCATTTAATTAAGATGTGGTATTATAGTCATTCCAGAAAACTCAAAGAATTAGGGGTTATATAAGCAATCAGGCTACCATGAGTTGTTAGACATTTTTTATATCGATACATATTTAATAATGTATGAAATTCTTATCGAAGTTGTAATATCAATTTTGGCTTCCGTTAACTAAAGGTTAATGACAGGTATTCAAAAATGTAGTGAGTCTGGTCTTTAACGGATTTCCTGGTTCATGAACATATGCTAATTTATCCGTAACATCATTACCAACAAGGGCATATTCAACTTGATTACCAGGATCATCTTCCCAGAGTAAAATTTTAGCTTGAACCCACTTGCTCCAATTATGATCATCCCACATAGTGTTAGAGTTTTAGTTTGTGTAAAGGCTGTGTGAGGCTCAAGTGATAGCATGAAGCCTCTAACAGGTCAGGCCTCTTAAGATCGTAAAATGTATAAAAGCACAGGCTGTCTCATTT